AAATTTGATCTACTTTTAAACTGCCCTCCAAAAATATTCAATCTTTTAGTTGCCTATTTCTCCAGACTCTTCCCAACAATGAACATCACTAAATATTCAATAGATGAAAAAACATCTTAATCCTGTTTTTAATTTGCAATTTTAAAAATTATGAGCAAAGTTGAGCTGTTTGCAAGCCACCTGTATTTCTTTAAACTGTCTCTTTTTCTAGTAAGATACCAATCTTTATTTTATTGAAGTGTTTATTGTCTTATTATGGCAAAGACTGATGTTGACCTCTAGTATTCATGTTCTCCTTATTCCTTTTAATAATAGGACCTTCTCCACACTGAATTTCAGCTGGGCACATGTCCACCTAGTTAGAGACACTTCCTAGCCTCTCTTGCAGCTTGAAGTTGCCACAAGACTGTGAATGGGCCCAGGGAAGATGGAAGAAAGTGGCAGGCACATTTCTCAATTCATAAAATGAAATATAAGGCCTAGCTCTCCCTGACATTTTTAACAGGCCCCTTCTGTTTTTGGGGGAAATGTCAACAACTGGAGCAGTCGATATGGACCAGGCATGGAAGCCACTTGTGGAAGGAAACAGAACCATCCTACCTGCTAGGGATGGCTCCCATTAGACTGCAATGAGAGAAATGTAAATCTCTCTTTTATTTCAATCACTGATGCAGGGGTTGGGGAGGAATCTATTAAAGAATCTAACCTATATTCTAACTAATGCATATAGTAATCAACTTTAATTTAGAATCTTAAGAATAGTAATGTTAGAAAGCAGATAATTTAATGCTTCAATGAAGTCTTTACTACAGAGACTAGGCGAGAGAAAAATTAGATATCTTAGCCAGTCTTTGCTGTCTTCTGTGAAATTCCTACAGCAGTTCTGGCATCCAAAACTTTAAAAAATAATATGCTAGTAGTCTATCTACAATAACAATGATAAACTTCTAAGCATTACCCAGGGGATGAGGGTTTGAGTAGACAAAATAAAATTTATCTAGGTTTATTTTTAATTTACAATATTTGTGTGGATAAAACAGACACTCTGAAACCCTGCCAGATAAGGTGTGAACTGATACAAGCTTTCCGTAAAGCAATTAATAGTATATATCAAAGCCCCAATGTTTATTTCCCTTGACTGATGATTCCATTTCAAAACATCTATCCTAAAGAAATAATTACTGGTATACAGAAAGGTTTATGTAAAGGATGTTCAGCAGACTGTTTATTACAATAGGCCATATCAAGAATCATTCTGAATATGAACAATGGGGTTAGTAAACTGGTTAAATAAATTATAATAATGTTAATAATAATAAGACCAATGATTATTTATGTAATCAACTTACTATTTCCAGGCACTGTTCTAATTGCTTTGCATATTTTAATAGATATAATCCTCACCATAAACCTATGAAGTAGGTATTATTACCACCCTCTTTGATAAATAAGGATACAAAACTAATACCGTAGCACGAGTCATACATGATCCCACTTCTGTTTTGGCTTAATAAGAAGGGCAATAAGATGCTGCCAGATTTCCTTTAAATCTTTTTCTAGAGCTGACTACATTTTCAAGTTAAATTCTGTAGTAAAGCAGATTATCTCCAATATCTTTTCGGTCAATCCTTGTAAAGTAATGAAACAAAAGAATCTCTTAGAAAAATCAATTCACTCATCACTTTTTAAACCTCTGACACATTAATGAAATTAAGAAAGTCTTAATTTATCAGAATACAACCTATGATATTTATATATTTTATATTTATGTCTTGATAAATATAAAACTCATTTTCCTCATTTCTTATCTATAACAGTATTTTCACATGAAAATAAAATAATTTTGTATATATACTTTCAAAGCACTGACCACCACTAATTTCATACATAGGATAAAAAAATGTAAATTTTCCCATTTTATCTGCTCTTATCCAGAACATTTCCTCTGAGAGGTTATGTTATATGTTGAGTTTAACTACCAACTATAATGGCATTTTTCATCACTGCCTCAATTTATTAGTCTTAATTCACAAGAGGAATCTGGGATTCACATAAAAACTGAGAAGTGACTGATACATTTTATAGAAAAAGTCTAATAGGTAGAAAATAGAACTTTAAGGCTACCTAAATTCAGAGTCTCTTGTGTAACTTATCTGGACCCTAAGCACAGCTTGTTTTATTTGCAATTTAATCCAGAATATAGTAGGAAATCAACTGCAAATAAACAGGTCTAATAAAAGACTGATGAGGAAATTAACCTTTTTTTTGGGGAAAAAAAAGAGCAACACGTTACATTGAAGGATTTGAGAAATTCTTTAATAGTAAATTCCTTTTCAAAGATGTTAAGTTTAAAACTTATCCGTCTATTTAACATCATTTGAACCTTTTTTAAAAAATAAGTTTGCATAGAAATGAAGTCTATCAATAAGAAAGAAAACCACTCTAATATTTCCAACCGTTTCTAAATTATACACTTAAAATTCAGTTTTACCTGGTAACCTTGAAATGTTAGTCGAAATGCAACAGACAAATAAGGACTCGTAGGGTTTATTATAGGAAATGAATGTTATCTATAAGACACTACAGAGTAAAGATGAGAAAACAGGGAAAACTACCTAAGCTTTTAATTAAACAATGCCTGACTGCAAGTTTCCTTTAATCTAAAAAGGCTATTCTTCAGTTTAAAAGTAAACACACACACAAAATAATGATTAAATAAAACACACAATTATTACATATATACATACATGCACATAAATAAACATTTATGACAAACATACATATGTATGAGTGGATATATGTAAGTTTGTGTATATGAATATACATGTATGTATGTTTTATATAAATGTATTATGTATATGTATACATTTTGAACATAAATATTGTACATTAAAGTTTATCAACTAAAGAAGCTAAATTTGGAAGGAACCAATCTTGGTAAATACTCCATACTTTTAGGGACTATCGTGGCTAACTTTAACATATTTGAGTATATATATATAACCAAAATTCATTCACACAAACTTATTTTACTATTAATTAAAATCATGTGGAAAATTAAACCATGCAACAAAAATATTCTAGTGGGCGATATAAAAATCAATGTCTCTCCTAATTCCTTTAAGCTCAGCTATAGTTCATTTTCAGAATCTTTTTTGGCCAACTTCATGTGCTATAGATGAGTTACAGACTGTCCACTGATTGCTTGTTTTGTGCTAATTATTACTGTGCATGCAACCTGACAGCATTCAGTTACCACGGGCCAAGAACTGGTTATCAGAAGGCAGCTAACGTAAAATATAATATTCAAATTTCAAAAGAATATCCTGAATATTCACCAGTAGATGCTAGAGTCACTTCCAATCAAAAGAGCCTTTTTATCTTGAGAACTGTTAAGACAGTTCATTTATATGTATTTTTAATAATCTGCATGTACATTTGGGGTGGGACTTTACAATTAAAGCTTACTTAGCAAGTTTTTTGAGCAACTTAAGTTTTACAAAGGAAAATCATAGTTTCATTTTATGCTTGATAAAAGTCTAAAAATCTAAAATGAATCAAACTAAACCTTTTTTATTTTAGCTAATTTACTATTGTAAACCCAACAGGCAATGGTAATAGTGACTAATTTTACTTGCACAAATTGACAAGTCCTCTGTTCATAGGTACTTTGGGTTAACCCAGGAGAAATATCAATAAAATGATATTATAAAACTGAATATATTTCCAACTAAAAAAGTATCAGTTTTAAGTCAAAGCAAGTTAACAATAAAGTTCTCTCTCAAGCAGCCTCCTTATAAACTCCTCTGTCTTTCCAAATTACAAACTCAAAAGCAAAAGCATTCTAAAATTAAAATTTTTATTGACCTCTCATTTTATTTAAAAATCACCATGCATTCTAATGTTATAAATCGTTTACATGACCATTTTCAAGTTTCTATAAGATTTGCTAAAGATGATTTTCATCAGTATGCATATCTCATATTTATTAATCTCTCTGTACTTAAAGAGTTTTACAGAATGGGAAGAGAATAAGTTTCATATCATCATTTGAAATTTTATTATACCTTTTTTGGGTACCCTACATTACATATTCTTCTAGTCAAAGCATCACCTGAATTATCATCTTTATAAATGATGGGCAGCTATAACATTGATAAAAATCTGTGAACAAATGTAATCTTTTCAAATGTGTACATTTTAGCAACAAGATTTTCTTCATTATATTTACTTAAATTGTTATTAATCTGCATTCTGAGCTCAAGAAAGTGGAATTGTACAGAGAAACAGAAACCAAAGTAGTATAAATCACTGTCCTTAAGGCACAGAACACGTATTTGAATGGATAGGCATTATTGAGGTTTTAAACTATCCATTCCTCTTAAAATTAACTACTGTATTTAATAACATATTTATAGACATATTAACACAAAAAGAAAAAACTCTGTAATAAAGTTATTATTTGATGTTAGTATAGAACCATGGTGTCCTCAGAGTACTGCCTTTAGAAGTACAGTAAGTCCTACTTCAGGTGATGAACGATGAGGTAAGTGAATACCTACCTAAAAAAAAAATTCTATAGTAACAGACCTTTAGAAACCATTTTTGTCTTTTCTGCAGCACATTCAGAGAATTCAAAGAGATTAAGATTTAATCCAAATAATTTTTTTAATCAACATTTCCCCATCTGGTACAAATGCCACGGAATAAGAACTGCCCAAACCATTATAAGAGAACACTAAAGCATGAAAATGTATTAATACCTTTAACTACCTATTACTAATAGACATGTTCAAAAGAAAATGTAGAGTAAGAGATGAGAGAAACAGAAAAAGAAAAAGCAAAAGTCAAATGTTCCTTACATACAGAACAAATCCTATAAAGTGTCCTTACACATAGTTCCAAAAAGAAGCTATCTCAAGAAAGAACTGAAATCATTGTTACTCATTATCTGCTGCATTCAAGTTTCATATCATCAAGATTACATAAGGCCTGCATACCAAGTTCATCTTGCAAACTGCTGCCGCCTACAGCAGATGCATTGTCATGTGATGCTTCTAAGTGGACACTCCCATTTCTCACCAGCAAGGAGGCACTAGCACTGAGCACTGCAGCCTGGGAAGGGGGGCGGGACTGGACTTTGACCTGGGCTGTGGACTGCTGGCCTTGCTGCCCATCTTGAAGGCTAGGAAAAAACATGGATTGGGAAGACATTACAGGGAAGAAAAGAGAAAACAATAGCTAGAATGAAGTCAATATAGAAAAAACTGATTTAAAAAAACCTTTTCAATGTAACCTAAGAAAGAGCCAACAAACTTTGTAAAATATAGAGATTATACTGCTGGCTTAAATCTTCTGCTCCTTAGAAATCTGATTCATAGTGATGAATACAGTAAATATTTAATGTATATGAAATTTATCAATGTGTCTTTTTTCCACTTCAAGTCAAAAAAGTTCTAGTATAAGGAAAAAGAAGGCACAGCAAAGAAGAATCAAAAGTACATAAGATATATGTGGGTTGCAGATGGTCCCCAAAAGATAGATCCTATTTTTCAGTTAAATATGTACTTTTATTTATAAATGTAATACTAATTCTAGAATTGTTTTTTCAAATACTTTGGCATCTCAAATTCACAATAAAAGAAAATTTCTATGCACCAGAAAACTAAAGAACCTTTATCAAATGCAACCTGGATGACAATTTTAAATCAAAAGAAAATCACAAACTAGTGCAAGAACCAGAATAACAAATACTGACTCAACCAAGTGAAATAAATGACCGCTGGGATGCTGGAAGAAGTGTAATTAATATTTAATGTGTTGTTTCTATGAAAAGCCTACATATTTCTGAAATAAGGCCACAGGCCTTAACAAGGTGTTAGTTAACAATAATTATGTTCCCTTAACCAATTTTGTTATTACCTTTTCCAATCCATATCATAGTTTCATTAACAAGAACCCATCATTTTAGAAAATCTTAAAAATAATTTGGAAACCAGTAATTTCTCAAGGGATATTACAGTCTTTTTTAAATTTTATAAAATTTTTAAAATACTTAGTATTGTGTGATTATAAACTTACTTATAAAAATTACCTAATTTTCTAAAATTGAAGTTATATTAACTCATTTTATATTTCTATATATTTATTTTAAATCACTATAAATTTTTAAATTCTTAGTACAATATTCAAATTTAAACTGATGAAATTCATGAAAACATTGAGTATAATTGTGTCATTCCCTACATTATGTTCAATGAAATCCTCTGTTCTGTTACTAACATAATTAGACCTTTTAGGAAAAAAAAAAAAAGAATGCTATTTAGGATGGACTCATTCAGTTAATTTATTATTTTCATGAGTATTAACTTCTAATCCTTTGTATTCAATGCAATGGTTTCTCTGATGCCTATAAAATAAAAACTCATCTGCTGCAGACTGTGAAGTCAGCTGTAATTTGAAACAACCGTAAAATAAAAGACTAAGTAGAAAATACTGCATATATTGCTTAAACCTGTGGTTATGGCAACAGAATACACTCTGGAACTACACTGTCTGATACATTATCCATATGTGGCGATTTAATGTAACTAAATTTTAGTTTCTTGGTCCCATTAAGTGATCAATAGCCACTTAAAGTAGCCAGTGGCTACCATATCTAAAAGCTACCAAAGTGGGTAGAAGCTGGTAGTTAAGCGTCTACCATACCGGACAGTGTAGATCACATAGAATAGTTCCACCACCACAGAAAGTTCTACTAAATACCACTATCTGAACATTCAGATCCTAGGCTTCTTTTAGAGCCAATGAAAGAATACAGTCTAAATAGAGCATAGGAACGTAAGCAACATATGAAGAAAAACAAGTCTGCAAAATGCTGACTTGTCAATGCTTACTGGCATTATATTTTAAAAGCCATAACCATAAAAGTACTCATCTAATAACTTCTTTTGAATAGAATTTTTGTACAATAGACATGTCAAGAGATAATTTTAAGAACTTATAATCCAATATGTTTGTATCTTCCATACACATGTTTGTTATTCTTCCTCAGAAACTATCTAAAAGTTACCCATAGACCTTACCGAAATGGCCAAATTTCACAAGAAAGAAAATTCTGAGGAAAAAATGTTTAAGTAGTTCAGAAGACAGAAGAATTTCATAGAATATTTACTCAACAAATTTTTCTATCAATTTTTTTTCACATAAACTCATAAACGAAGGTGCCAAATGGCGGTTAGGTGTATTTTAATGTGAACATGTTTGAGAGTACACTAATCTTCAGCACATCTAAACATATAAAAAGGTTTTCAAAATATTAGGCAATGTATGAAAGCTCCAGAATAAACAAAGTAAATCAGCCAAAATCTATGTGGTTGTAAATGTCAAGTTTTTGAACAGCAAAAGCTAGTCACGAAAATGTTTATGTCCCTTGAATTCTTGTTTCCAAAATCCTTCAACAACAAAAAGCCTATCATTTTTGCAGAAATTGTTAGGAAAACTATTCCTAAAGGACTGTACTCTACCTTAAGCTACTAACTGACAAGACTTAATCTTTTTTACAGCACAGTTATATGTCTGAGAAAAGATAACTATTTTTGCAACATAGTAAAAGGAAAGGTAGAAATTTAGTCCATAACTGTCAGCAATCAATAGCATCACTGACATGCAATCTTACTAATTAACATTTCCAATTAAATAACAAAAAATATAGTTGGTCTTGGTCCCTCCTTTCTGTTTACCACTTCTTTAATATTTGACACATTCTGCCTTATGCAGTTAGTTATTTCTGTATGTGCCTCGACAAAAGAGTAAACTCTAACAGTATGATCACATTATTCCTATGAATCTCCAGATTCCAGAGTATACCCAGAAGAGTGTCTTGAACACAGCACAAAACAACAAATATTTGGTGGATCCATTCCTGAACACCACAAAATGACCTCTAAGAATTTCTAATCATGGACTCCCAGTTATTACTATGACCTTATTTGATTACAGATCTTTCAATCTTAGGATATTTTAAAAAACAAATCTAAGAATGCAGTAACGCTTTTTTCCCTTCCCCAAAATGTACTGATTTCTTTTCATTCTAGCCCATTAACTAGAGTTCTAAAAAAAATCATATTAAGTTCATAAATCTAGAACTTATTATAAAAATATTAAATTTTCATCTTTGCTTTTATCTCTAGTAACTGAGAAGGACTAGTAAAGGCCTACGAAATCTACCTACAAGGCTAACCTAATGAAAAAAATACTTTAAAAAATAATTCTGAAATAGGATATTCTAACAAGCATAAAAATTTCATGCAAATTTTCTTTGTGAGGAAACTGATGATTCATTCCCAATTCCTGGAGACATAAATTTTACCAACTTGCTTTCTAGACTGTTGATTACTTAAACCATTCATTAAAGTTTAAAATTAGTTAGATTTCATGGCCATTCCACCCTGAATGTGTCGGATCTCATCTGATCTCGGAAGCTAAGCAGGGTCAGGCCTGGTTAGGACTTGGATGGGAGACCACCTAGGAAGACCAGATGCTGTAGGTGGTAAAATAAATAAATAAATAAATAGAAAAGAAAATAAGTTAGATTTTACTAGTATTTACATAGTAATTATAATTAAAGTATTATCACACCTATTCCATTTCTTTTTGACAAACAAGTTTTTCACGTTTTGCATGACCACGCCTTCCTATATTTACATTAAGACGCAATTATTATTATGTAACTCATACCAAGAATTAACACAATATACTTTACCTGGATATTTTTGCAATTAAAAATGATGATTTTATTAAATTGGTGTTTCTCCTAATTCCTCACAGCTCAATTTTATTTTATTTCATGCATGATGAAATCAGCCTATTTAAGATACATATAACCTTTGTACTGGAAATATCCCAGAACTTCAACAAAATCTACATGCTGACTACTAACTAGACTACTTTCCAAAAATTCTTATGTGAGCCCTTTACAAATAAATTTCACACTATATCCTCATTTGAATGGCGATGTATTTAAAATCCTACAAAAACATGGAGAAATCCTATGTGATTGGCTGGAGTTAGAACACAGTTCTTTAATATTCCACCAGGCAGGAAAAAAAACCTAATTTGTCTACATTTTTTTGGTGAGTGGGATCTAGCAGACTCATTTGTAGCAAAGAATAAAAGGATTTTTAAAGACTAAAAAGAGAAGGTTAAAAAGTAGATTAAGGAATATCAACATAGAGTAGAAAAGCAAAGTATGGCAAATATTATTCAAGGGACAAAAAGAAAAGGTTAGAAAACACAAAATGGAACAAGTAAAATGAAATGCTGAGCTCTTTCTGCATGATGGGACTGTACCCCAAAAAAGATTAGCAGAAAGAAAAGTTACTTCAGGGAGCAAAGGAAAAGATGTGGAAAGGAAGCAGAAGAGGAGGGCTCACCAAAAAAAAGGTGCTCAGCAAAGTTTTCACTGTTGCCTTCCCATTTTTATATTTTAAACACTGGTTTAACTAATCTATACTACTTTTAACAGAATTACATATTACTGCGGGATTAATTAGGAACAAACTTATGAAGTTCCTGATTGTAATGTAAAATCTATAAAAATAACTAAAATCCCAGAATATTAATAAGGATTTTGCTATTCTTAAGAACAAGATTTTTAACAAGGAAAGGGGTTTATCTCTTTCAACCTAACATGCATTCAACAGTTATTTTATCAAATGCTATTCCTTTTGAACTTCAAACTAAAATATAAGAAAATAGTTCGTATAATAGTACTTCTGGACACACAGATTAATAAAAGTATAACATGTGCACTGCTTAAGCAAGCACATGTAAACTATTTTTGTCTATATCTGTATTGATAAAATACAGCACATATCTTTTGAACAGATTTTTATTATTTCTAATTCAAGATACAGACTCATTAGATTTGACCAATTGAGAATAAAATAATTACTAAAATTTTAATGGAAAATTATCCCTAATATTATAAATATATGCTTTCTTAAATAGGATACTGGAAAAATTAAAATGTTTTTGTTCAGTAACCAAAGAGGTTGCAAAATTCAAAACAAAAGTACATACAAAATATGTATATATATCCAATTGGCCACACGTTACCATAAATTAAATATTTTAGTCTTGTGTCATTTACTAGGTCCTGGTGATTATGAAATAGGCAATTTTTAAGTAATACAAAATAAAAAATACATATTTTAGTGAAATCATCAAACTAGCTTAAAGCTGAGGTCAGTTATCCGCTATTCCTCAACAAGCTCACATTTGTTCATATTAAAAACTGCGAAGATGCTGGACAAAGATATTGCATTAATAATTATTTAGAGTAGGGAAAAAACGTACTTAAGGCCTCTATTCACATTTCTAAAACCACCCTAAAGTGATTTTTCAACTTAAAATTGGCTACACCAAACTGATCGTTTAAAGTAGAGCAATATAAGGCATGCATAATGCAATAGGCTCAGGGTCACATGCAGAGAAAGCCTAAAGAGCTTATGTATAGGGGAGAAAGCGGAAGAAAAAGAAAAACAAAGCTATTTAAATGCTTTCTTGGGACTGACAGAACAGGTTAAAACGTCTGTTACATGCATGCTAAGCTTGGTGGAATGTTAAGATACCATACCTTAGGGGTGATCCGATGAGCAATGTAGGAGGGGTAGGGTTACTCCCTGCATTGTGCCGGCGCCGTACTGCCTGGCGCCTAAATGTGCTGCGTTCACGGCGAAATGACACCGTCTCCTCGCTGGCCTGTGCTGCTGCATTAAGACAGACTTAGGTCAAATAGGAGCCTAGGTCAGAGATGGAAATAGCAGCTGAGCCTGTCTCTCCCTGACTTCCCGCCCTCGAAAGTAAAGGGAATTTTTCTAATTGAGCCAAACGGTTTTCATGCATATGCTAATCTATCATTATCAAGGAATATACAAAAAGTATGAGTCCTTTATTTAAAAATAATTATTTCCTTAAAAATAATGTTTTTGATCTATCATCTGGCCTCACTATCTTCTCTTCCACCTTAATTTCCTAAGATCTCTGTTGTTTTAAAATTGTTTTGAAAAGTCTTATTTATTTAATCCCATGTGCCCTTATTTCCCCTTTAAGTCAGCCTTAAAAATACTGTACTTGTCAGTTCAGACTAATAGAAATAGGCATTAGTTTCTTACTCTCAGGAGGACAGGAAAAGCAGCAGTGATAATAGTTCATTTTTGATGCCGAGGAATAAGGCAGTAAATCTCCCACTTTCCTGGGCCACACTTTTGCAGCATAATGAAACCACTGACTGATAGTAGTTTGCTGCTATCAAACTTTATTCAACTTTATATCCCCAGCACTGATCCCATCAACATTATGAAGCAAATATCAGCCAAAAAAAAAAAAAAAAACCAATACAGAAACTCAGAACTTAATCCAAAACAATAAAATACAAACTAAAACCAATATACAATAAGAATATCACAATGGCTTAAATGAATTACTACATAAAATTTTACAAAACCATACTAATTGACTAATTTGAGTTTCTAAAGCAATACACAAAATGTTGTTTATCCATTTGAATTTAAAATTGTTTCCAAACACACAAAAACTCCTTTCTTTTTAGTAAGTATGAAATGGATTATAAAATCAAGAATGTTATATTTAGATTTCAGTTCTTTTGCAACCTTCTTGAAGTTCTAAGTGTTACTAATTCTCAAATTATTATTCTGCTTAGAAATAGCCACTTCCTTCTATTTTAATGGTGATTTTAATAAAGTATCCTTTTAAATATTGACCTTTTTATCCCCTCCCCAACCTACGTCAGTAAATATTCTTTGTGTAATTAGTCCATTATGATTAGGAATATACAGACTACCTCCAGAAGTCATAGGCTCTCTGTTCTTTAGATACTTTCTTTTATTGAAGGAATGACAAGCATAGAATTATTTCATCCATTTGGCAAGCTTCTGCCAGAAAGAAGTATAAGTCACAAATTACAGGACACTTATTTATATTACTTATTTCTTTTTCAGCTAACACACTACAGTGACATTCTAAGGTTAGGCGACTAAATAAGAATTAGGCTTCAGATCCAAACCATAATTGACCCTTTGAGGTAATTTTTATTTTTATTTTTTCTCCAGTTTTATTGAGATAGTGAAAATTCCTTTAGACGTGAAAAGGCTGTTACCGTATATAAAAGCTCGTTTATGCAAAAATTACATATGACCTCATATATATATATGATGCTGATTAAACCTAGTCCTCTAGTACCATGCTGTCCAAAATGGTGGTAGCCAATAGCCATTTGTGGCTATTTAAACTTGAAACTGATTAAAATTAAATAAAATTTAAAATCCAGTTTATCGGATTAATGAACCACATTTCAAGTGCTCAACAGCTACATGTGGATAGTGGCTACCATCACTAGACAGCACAGACACAAAATATTTCCATCATCATAGAACGTTACATTGGACAATGCTGATTTAGAAAGTCAAGGATACCTTTTTTGTCACCACAATATACAAAGCCCACTGTATGCTTTGCCTATTTCTGACAATCATGACCTCAATAAAAGAAAACTGTGACAAAGACTGACACAAAGGGGGACATAAATTGGCAAGGCAGTCACTGGATAAAGTATAAACAAAGCAAAAAAAAAAAAAAAAGCCACTTGGAAGAAATGAAAACTTAAGATGAGTGACCACTAAACCTGTTAACAGTTCTTAGGCATCAGTAAGGTTAATTTGGGTTACAGAATTTAAAATCACTCTTTAAAAATCAATTCAATATTTTAAGAATTTATATCGAAGATTTCTATTCCATTGTTAAAACAAACTATTGCTCAATTTACAGGGCAGTTCACTTCACCGAAACTTTCAAACATTCTCTCTAGTTTTAGACATTTTGTTTCAACCAAAATAATAGAGTAGAATTTACACAGATATAATTTATAGGGGATAATCTAATCCATAAAATGTAGTAAAATTATTCAGGATTTGGAAAAAAGTAGTATGTGATCACTGAATACTGAGAACAGGAAGGTGAAATATAAAACAGTTCTCTTTACGATCATCCTTCTACTCAAGTCTTAATGGTGTTTAAGACTTCACTGGGACAAAAAAGACAAACCGTAGTGTCCACTTACAATCAAAATGTTCTTCAGCTTCTTCAGAAAACACAATTTTTTTTGCTATTAACACATATTTATATTTTGTTACATGGAAAAGCACTATATATTAATACTACTACTTAATAAAATAGTTTTGGAAACACAGCAAGATGTAAGTTTAGGCATCCACTGAACAATGTATTAAAATGGAATTATGGTTACTGCTTACGTTGTCCTCTGTAATAGTCGGGGTATAAATAATGCTAAAACAATGTTCAATATTTACTATAGCAATTACTTTAACAGTAGCTAGGATCACACATTTGCCTGAAAACACTATGTTATAATTTATGGTCACAACAAATAAGACTAAGCCATGGCCCCCTGGGAGTGTGCTACTTAATATAGAACATCTCTATTTGAAACAGGGTCCAGTGGGAGTCCAATTCTATTAGAGCCAAGGAAAGAAAAGTGTCTTTAAAGCTTAAATTTGCCATAAGCACATTGTCACATAAATTATAACCACACTTGAAAATTCACTTCCACAATCCAACTGCAATAAATTTTTAATCCTTTATAAGAGAAAGAAAACAAGAACAAAAAATATCTTTAAATTAGAGAATGAGACAGGAGAGAAAAAACTTTAAAACCTAGTTTTGAAGTTGATATTTTGACCTGGCAAAAAAATGAAATTAACCAGTAAAATAATAAGAGCATAAAATGCAAATAATAAAAACTGAGCACTCCAGGTGCAACTAAATTTTATGTATATGTAGGTAAAGGAGAAAATCACAAATATTCAAGTGATTCAAAACCGTGAATAACAAGACAGACATAAAATACTTTCAAGTACATATAGACAATTGTAATTTTAACATATTTTTAAAAATTTATGTCTTGACTTTCTAATCATTTCTTTTGTGTTAAGAAAACTCCAAGATTGAATTAAGATCACAGTAATTTTAAAAGAGAACTTCAGATAATTCAGCTCTTTATTTTTGACACAGTAATAAATCATTCAATAAGTTTAAACACTTACTGGGTACCTAAAGGCAATTCATGCACAAAGCACAGAGACCCTAAGACATTTTAGACAACTGTGATCTGATCTGATCTTAAATATCAAAAAGAAAACAAAATCCACAATACACACCTCCCACCTCAGGAGTTAGTTTTTATTTATCTCGAAATGAGTTAAGGGAAATGCTACATATTCTATATTAAATTATTTAACTATTTTCATATGCGGGTATTAAAACAATAAACTATCACTTTGTTTTACCCTGAATGAAAACACAGAAAACATTAAAGGCACTAGAATACTTTCAGGATAGCTGGGATGAACAAAAGAGCAAAATTTGGGAAGTAAGAAGGTAAGGGTTGTCCATATTCTATCTCAAAAATTAGAAAGTTTGAGCATAAATATATATATAGAATAAGATGCCATTTAGAAACAATGTCAATCAGACAGATGATTGCTTAGTGAAAGGATTCATTTGTAATAAGTTACTTTTTTGTTATATACTGCTCAGAAAAATAAAAGATCTACTGCATAACTTCTGAGCATTCATTCTGAATTAAAATACTTTCCATCAGTGAAAACATTACAAAGGTTGATATTTTGACCTGGCATTAGTTTCAAGTATACAGTACATTAGTTAGACATTTATATAGTTTATAAAACAATCCCCCTAACTGCTCCTTCTCTCCTCTGATTTTCTCTACGTTTTTGACAAGTAAACCAACCAACAAAAGCAAACAACAAAATTAGCTGTGACTTGAGCTAAAGAGAATTTGCATATCCTTATTCAATTTTCCACAATCCCAGCAGCCAAATAAATATAGTTGAGTAGACGAGATGCTTTCAAGAAATTAAATTATACCTGTGGAGTCATAATTCACACAGAATAATTCCTAAAAGATATAGTTTAAGGATTACTTACTTTCATAGGCCGTTCCTAATTTTTTAAAATCCTTTGGGAATAAGATGAGAGATATAAATCCTCTCCCAGAAAACCGCGCTCCAAAACAATTCTGCATATATCTTTAGGAGATTCACCTAATAAGAAGTCATTAATGAAGAGTATATATTTGAAGTGATATATATTTGAAAAGGGAAACTTCCTGACAAATGATTAAAAGGCATCAGTGTCTTTGTTTTCATAATAAAGCTACAATTTACAAAGCACTTTTACACATCTGAGCTCATTAGAGTCTGATAGTTAACTATGAGACAGGCCCACACAGTTATTGTTACTGTTTTACAATTGAGGATATTGAGGCACAGATTTAATGGCTTGCCAGAGTATCCGGTTAGCAATTAGAGGTGGTATTAAATGTTACCATCTGATTCCTATCTAGAACTTCACTGCTGCTAGGAAAAAATAATGCTATAATGTCTGTTCCTACCACACAAAATCAGGCATTGGGCTGGTTTTGGGAATTCTATACACAAACCCTTATTTGCCGCATCAATAAAATATCTCTTTTTCTTGACACTTTTTAAGAGAAGCTCATTTTTCCAAGTAACTGAAGCATCCAAACCTGTTTACTGCACTAAATGAGCATTTTTCCATGTGGTTCTTTTATGTCTAAGCATCTTCTCAGTATAGATCAGGGGTCCCCAAGCCCTGGGCCACAGATCATTATGGTCTGTGGCCTGTTAGGAACCAGGCTGCAGAGCAGGAGGTAAGCAACAGGTGAGGGAGCTGAAGCTTCATCTGTATTTGCAGCCGCTCCCCAGCGCTAGCATCACCGCCTCGGCTCCACCTCAGATCATCAGGCATTAGATTCTCACAGGAGCACCAGACCCTGGTGCCAAAAAGGTTGGGGACTGCTGATCTATAGGCATATAAATGGTCAAGCAGTATGCTCTATTTTGTTGACACATTTCAGGAGTACAATAAGGGAGAATAGATAGCCCAGAAAAATTTCTCCTCAATTGCCAGAAAGTCTACTGACAAATAAGGCTAAAATAAACAAATTCTTACCAAGTATTTGAGATGTAATATAATTTTTAAATAAAAAGAACCAAACATCCCCTCCCACTACCGCCAATTTTCAAAAAGCCCAAACAACCCCCTAATATAATTAAAACCACATGAATATAAATCCTCAATACACTTAGTTTAGTTATGCTGTTATTTTTATTCTAAACACAATGAAGCTATAATGTGTTTAGAATAAAAATAGATTATAACTAAACACAATAGCCTCTACAATGCCCTCTTTTAGCAAAAAAAAAAAAAAAAAAAAATTTAAGAGCCCACAGACTGTTATATTTATTCCTTCAAAGTGCATGGAAATTTTTAGTTCAGTATTTGTTTCTTATTAACAATCAATGGTTTGTTTTTTAGAAATAAGAATGCAAATAATAGAAAAGCTAGAATCTGAAAAAACGAGGGCTCATATTAGTCAAAGATCTGCACTGAAAAGTAATTAACACCTTCCCTATAACTCTTACAAAAAAATAGAACACCTCACATTCCCTGAGAAAAGGAAATGACATTTTAAATACAAAGACATAAGAATTTACTATAGTTCTTGTACATAGTTTTTAGTATTTACATTCCAACAATATTTAGAAGAGCAATATTTTCCTACCAAAGCATGTTCACTCTTAAAATTTATTTTAATGACAACTTTAAAAATTAAGCTGTATTTTAAAACCCAGTGGTTTCTTGCATGTTATGAACATATTTGATATGATTTGTGTGAGAAATCACGCAAGGCATTTCAGACCTTTTATAAAAAACAGAATGATATGCACATCTAAGACTTGAGGGAATTTAATTACTATACTGTCACCAAGTAGTTATAATCATTTCAGAAATAATTAGTTCTCAATATTTAGGTTGGATAGGCTATTTGCTTCCTTAGGTTTTTACCTTTTTTTTACATTCTCATTAGAAATTAACCTATGTTAGAAACTATACCAAAAGAAACAAGAGAATGTTTACCACAATATGAACTTTTAAAATACTCTGGGTGAAATTAGAATTCTTTGAGATAAAAAGCAAGTTCCTTATGTTTCACAATGTATAAACAAAATATTCAGCTTAACTTTTAATAAGAGACTAGAAGCTTTAAAACTAAAGATATAAGCCTGAATAAAGAGAATGGGGGTGGAGGATAAAAAAGCTACAGTGCTGGCAACGGAGGGCTTCGTTCTTCTCATTCTATTCAAGAACCAGATTCCATAATAACCAGAACAGAATTTTAAAAAAAGTATTCTGAGGAGGTAATAGCAAAAAACAACTCTGAAATAAAATGGCCAAAAACACATGGATAATATAAAATCACATATTAAATTTTGCACAATTTTTTATAAACCTGCAACAAATAAGCTATTACCTTAACCAAAACACCATCACTGTTATAGGGATCATCATATATCCATTAATGGATACTAAGTGCCAATATAAACTACAAACTTAAATTTAATAAACTTTCAGTGTGAAGTTACAGGAAAAAAAAAGGTAAATGCCTAAAACTTGAATAAGACAAAAATAAAACTGAAGAAACAGACATAAAAGAGCCATAAAAGTTTCCAAAGTACACAGGCAGAGCTAAAGTAGTATTTGGAAAAATCTTATATAACAGGTTCTAATTCTGAAAGTTCAGTGGTAAACAGTATATAAGAAATGATTAATTGGGTGCCCTAATAAAATTCTACATTCTGTTGTTGATATTGTACAAAGAGGGAAGAGGACCAATTTTTGTTGCTCCTAGTAAAATATTCAAAGAATATTTTCATATTCTTTCATTTCATATTCTTTACAGATTCAAAGAATACAACTGAAAAAATATTTTCTTGATGTTCCAAATATGTACCAAAACCTTTTCTAAGATAACCAACTCCTTCTTCATGGAAAAGTCTATTTTAATAACATAGTGGAACAGAGGATATTAATACAAAGCATATTTTAATAAATATCACTCTAATCAACAGTATCAATAACTGCAGTTAACTCTTGGGGAAATCTCGTCCTATAATTTACTTACCTCCACTGACTGCATCTTGCTCTTCGCCTTCAGGAAATGCTACCTGGCTTGGCAAGCTATTCCTAGATCGAGTGACTGTCTCTAACTGGGAAGCCCGTCCCAATAAAGAGAGCTCATCTAGCACCTCTCCCTCTTTGGCCTCAAGATCTGATTTTGAAGTGGTTAAGGGTTTTATACTTTGGGGTGCCAGCAGCCTGCTGGAGTCATTCAAGCACGCTACTGCGCCACTGTCCAGGCTCAGCACTCGGGCTCGAGTCTTGGCATTATTTGTGCTGGAAGTCCGACGTGTCGCCCGCTTTTTGCCAGATCCTTCAGGACCCAAACGAGATTTGTGTGTGTGCTCAGAGTCGGTGCCCCTTTCTCTAGGAACATGTTTGGTCTTCAAAGCACTGTATCTGCCCTCAGGGGACTGACACGAATGAGAAGTCGTGCTAGAAGAGCTATCACTGCTGAATTGGTGAGCAGATTGAACACTAGATGCTCTGCTCAAGTCACTTTGGTCACTAGAGTCATCATCGTGACAGAATATAGCACTGTGTGGCTTGGTACCAGAAACACCTCGAAAAGAAACATAGTCCCTATGCCGACTTGAATCAAAACTGCTGGCCCGTTTCTTTCCTGTCCGTCTCCTGCCCGACTTATGGGCAGAGGCTGTCCGGTGGATTAAGCTGGAAGATTTAGGTCGTACATCTCCTTCCTTTTGCTTTCCGCCAATATCTTTCCCAACTTTTGAGTCCACTGAAACGGCGGGCTTATCACTCTGCTCCTCTTTGTTTTCAGCTGTTTTCCCAAGTGGTCTGTCCGCTTGCAAAGTAAATTCGTTTGCATGGGGATTTTTATTGGCTTCTTCAGATACAGAGGTGCTGAGACCTCTCTGACTGTGAATATCATCACAGGTATTACAGTCCTTGGCCTCTTGAACCCCACTATTTATACTCACTTCCAAGGCAGTCTTTTCACTACTAGTCCTTTTGTCACTGGTACAGCTAGTCTTGTCTTCTGGGTCAGCACAGCACTCTTTTTTCCTACCATTTTTCTTTCCTACTTTAGGAGACTCCTCATGCTCTGACAAGATGCTCTCTATGTGAGTTGAGCTGGTATGCTCACTCTTATAGCTGCTGACAGTACTGTTGGTATCACGGTCCGTTCCACTGCAATAGCTCTCTGTGGACCCACTACTGCGCGTGCTCAGGCTCCTCAAGCTGTCCATGCTTTTGTCTGCTTTCAAAGGTTTGCTCTTCCCACTCTTTGTAGGTGGCTGAGACTTACTGTTTTTCAGCTCACCAACAAGCTGAAATTCCCCAGATAAACAAGAATTTTCCACCAAGGATTCTTTGGATCCAGAATGAGGCTTGGAAGATTCTAACTCACTAACTGGATCTAAGCCACGTCTTTGCTGGTACAGAGGGAAGTCATTCAGTGAGGCATCTGGAAAAGCCACAGCAGAGCTAGAAGTCCGTGGCACACCTCGTGGCCGGTGATCTTTCCTATAAGAGTGTGAATGCAAAGGAACAAGAGAAGCTACTTCGGTATCACATGCACTGGACAGAGACTGATCGACATGATGATGGTGGCTGTGACTTGGCAGGCTCACTTTGTCACTGCAGTCCCGTGGTAAGTCCTGTCCACAAGAAGATAAGGAAGGCTGAATGGAGATGAAGGAATCATTGGAGACCAGACGGAAGAGCTTCCGATCAGTTGCCAAATCTGTTTCAAACATATATTTGGAAATGTTAACACAAATCTATGATCTGCTTTTTTATCGTTTAACAATGGAAAGAGTTCGCAGCATACAGTAAATCAAGTAAAAACAATTTCTAAAGTAGTTTACTGAATAGTTGGCTCATCAATCCAAAGAGCTGCAAAAAGAAAGCATTCTATTGATGGAATGAACTAATCGCCTCAGAAAATGTTCTACAGAATAACAATAAAATAACAGGCAACAAAGGATTATATTTAAAATTGACCTGGATTTTCATGTGAGCTCTGTCTCTAACTAATCAGGTAACCTTGGGTTACCTTTCTAAGCCTGCTTTCTCATGTGTAAAATGCAGTATCAATCTCTCCAAGGAGTACCATGGAATAACTGACATATGATATGCACTGCTCTGCACAGTGTCTGACAATTATTGATGCATGTCCCTAATTTTAATATGCAAAATTAATGGTAGCTATCATTATTTTACTTCACTAACACAATACAAAAATCTCTTTGAAAGACTAATGTTTTACAAATCAACAAAAACCTAGTCATTAGAAATAGAAAAAAATCAAAGGCTGACTAATTCCCAAACAAGATACATCTTAATGTTCAGAATGATTGAAAAGATTAAAACAATAATTATGAGGCAAAATACTGCATTTTCTTGTTTCATCGTTGATGCAGCAATTACAAAATGCCTCATGAAAAAAATACATATCTCCTGATATCTGTAAGACAATACCTTTCGCTCTCCCTTTAGGGCACTGATTAGTGACTTGAGTTACCATATATACTATGTGTGTAGATACAAATAAATCCATCTACCTACCCACACTGTAATTTATCTAGAAATATAGTTTGACAACTGAACTACACAATAGCTGAATTTTTATACACTTTTGACAAAGATGGTTGAATCTGCTTTTAGTTCAATCAAAATTATTTCTCGTAACTGCATAGAAAAAAATACAATAGATTCTGTAGTAAGTCAGACTGTTCCAGTAGAATCTCAACAATAAAAGCACACATTTCCCTCTAAGATTAATATATAAAAAGAATAAATTATTAGAAATGTTTATTTTTTTTAAAAAATCTAAATCTAGATTATATCTAAATAATTAAAAACTCAGAGTCAGTCTCTAGAATGTACTATATAAATTTTGATTTACAAATAACCTATTAGGCTTTTTCTTATGTTTTAAAGTCTTCAAGATAAGTAAAATCCATGTTCTTATCATTTGTCCAAAAGAGTTGTCACTATGCTTGGGTTATACAACCTAAACAACAAAATTTTAAAGTTAGCACTGTATTTACTTTTTTACAGTATGAAATTATAGTTATTTCTAAAAACTATGTATCTCTAATAAGCAACTACAGAATGGTGTGAAATTCACATTATGAATTTTATAGAATAAAAACTGAAGTAGCCAAAAATCACTAATTATATATGCAACAAAAACTTTAACAAAATGTTAATCAAAACCAATTCCTTTCTAAAACATTAATAAAGCAGAAATTTAAGGTTTTGATTTTGAAAGGCACAGCCAAACTTACTTTAATATATGTACTTTTTTCAATGTTGCTAAATAAATATACCATAAAAAGTTTAACTTTAGGTGGTTTTAGGAAACTTTTAATATGGTTTCCTGGCATTTTTCTTACTGGTAGTAATACAGTCAGTCCAAGACAGGATCAAATCAACACAGAGGTACTTTTTTTCATATAATTCAATTTTTTCCAATGATTGCTACTAGTGGTGTTGAGGTAAGAAAGGCATGTTCACATACTGCTCATGATGAAACTGGGATAACTTTCTGTAAAGCGATCTGGCGATATGGCCCAAAAACTTCCAAAAGTATATTCACCTATGACCAGTAATCTATATCTAGAAATTGCTGCTAAAGGATAAAATCATATATGAATATAAGGTTTTATCAAAAAATTGTTCATCTCAGGTTATAAAACTTCTTAAAACACAAAAAGTATAAAAATCTCCAATAAAAATGATTGACTAAATTATGATGTCTATTAACAACATCATGTAGGCACTAAAACATGTTTTCAAAGATTATGTAATAATATGAGAAAATACTTAGATAAAAAGAAGGCACTATATAAAAAGTATTATCCCAATCTGTAACAGTAAAAAGAATACTAAGGGTATATGTACATATGTTTGTAGGAATGTTAAAAGTAATATACCATATTTAGCCATAAAAAGAGATAAAGTCTTAATACATGCTACAACATACCAAGTTAAAGAAGCCAGACACAAAAAGCCACATATTATATAATTCTATTTATATGATATGTCCAAAATAGGCAAATACATTGAGATGGAAAATAGATCAGTGGTTGCCAGGGGCTGGCTGAAGAAAGACATGGGAAATATAATGGGTCCGGGTTTCTTTTTGAGGTATAATGAAAATGTTCTACAATTGGATAGTGGTGATGGATACAAACACAACCTTGTGAACATACTAAAAACCACTGAAATGTACAGTTTAGAAGGGTGAATTTTATGGTATGTAAAATATATCACAGTAAAAAAATAAGAAAAAAGTAATACATCAAAAACATATTAACAAGTTATCTCAGTGGCAGGAGTATGAATTATTTTCTTCTTCATTCTTAACTATATTTTCTAAAATTAACATATATTTCTTTTATAAACAAAAATCACACTTTCCTCCTCTCTAATAAATCATCCCCATCAATTATAGAAAACAAGCTGTTATTGCTCCGAAATATTCTTACAAAATCCAAATCTTTTATCTTCACTTCCCCTACTATCATCTTGTATCTCTGATCCCCTTTACATAAATTCACCAAGAGTAGCCTATATACAGTTTTCCGTTCTTTTCCTCTAATTCTCTCTTACATGTATTCTATTCCCACTCCAGTAAGATGCTTATCAAGGTCATCAGCACTGTTAAATCCAATGGTCAAACCTCAGTCTCCTATCACCTGACCTATCAGCAACATTTGACAAAACTGACCATGATCACTCTGCCTGAAACACAGGCTACAGCCCTCTTGGTTTCTTCACCTCACCAGTTGTTACATTCAGTCTCCTGGACTTATTAAACTGGAGTGGTGCAGAGCTCAATCCTTTGAACTTTTCATCTTCCTATCTATATTCTCTCTTTTGTGTAGAAAACTCATTCATTTTTCTGGCCCCATTACTAAAATTTAGAAATACTTGGAACAAGTTCTTCCATCTTCTACCTAGCCCCAGTACTCACTGGGCTGAAGTTCTGATCTTGAGTAAGGAAAATGAGTGAGGCTGGAGAAGGGAACTGTAGATATCCATTCCTGGAAGTGAAAAAGGAGAGCACACGTACCCCCATGCTCAGTTTTCTCTCAAATATCCTGAATCGTATTGATAAAATAAGTGCCAGCTAAGCAACTAACAGTTAACCAACTGACTAAAAGTCACTGCCCTGTAAATCCAAACCAGCCAGAGAACCAGAAGAGCTCCAATTGACAGATAAGCCAGAATGAACTACCACTAGGTGGTGCCAAACCGTAGGTAAGACTAATGCAGATTTGGATCAGAGAGCCAGGACACCTAAACTCCAAACTGGCTAACAACGCACATTTGCCCTGTTTACTAGCTTCATGATAACACAATCCCACAGCTGACATGACTGAGTTTTTGGGGGGCTATTTGTATACTGAAAACTCCTAAATTTAAAACCTCAACTCAGATTTCCTACCTGAAATCCAGACCTATCTAATTATCTACTAATTATTGCTGTTTAGAGGTATAACAGCATCTTGTACCTGTCTTACCTTCCTTCTGCCCCTTCTCAGTCTTTCCCTTTTCAGTTAACAGGGACTCCATCCTCCTCACTGCTTAACCCAAAACCTTAGTCATCCATGACTATTATTTCTCTCACATGATATATCTAGTCCATCAACATCAACAAATCCTCTCATTAATATCTTCTACACAATCAGACTACCCTAATCTGTGTCCTGGATTATTGCAATAATCTGCTAACTGAGCTCCCTGCTTCAGCCTTTGCCCCTTTTAATATTTTCTCAATATAGGAGTCAAGTGAGTCTGTTAAAATATAACACAGATCATGACACTCCTCTGCTCAAAACCGTCAGTAGTTCCTCATCTCACTGGAAATTAAAACCAAAATCTTGAAAATGGCTTACAAGACTATATAATGTCCTCTCACATACTCCACACCAGCCACACTATTTTTCAAACCTGACAGGGCTATTCCTAACTTAGAAATTTTGCCTGTGCTGTTACCTCTGCCTAGAGGGAAACCTTTTATCCCCAAATATCCTGATAGCTAATACTTCTTCACCTCTTTTAGGTTTTGCTCTCAATGAGGCTTTCCCTGGACCACTCTACTTAAACTTACAATTCCCCAGCCTCCACTCTCTATCCTCTGTCTCTATTACTACATATATATTTGTACGAGTATAATTCTATAATAACAGTATGGAAGCCACATGAGGGTAGAACTTTTTGTCTGTTTGTTCACTAATTTATTTCCAATTCTTAGAATGATGCTCAGTATATCATGAGTACCAGATACTATCTGTTAAATGTTAACTATGTGGAAAAATGGTATGTGATAAAGCAAGTTACAAAACTATATGACAGTAGTATAGCATAGCATTAAAAGCATAATTCAAAACTAGACTGCAATTAAAGGACTACCACTTTGTAGCTGTGTAACTTTGGGCACGTTTTTTATAACTTCTCTCTAAGCTATATGTCATCTGTAAAATGAGAATAATATTAACATCAAATGCTTACAGTAAAGATTAACTGAGTGAATGTGTATAATAACACACTTAGAAGATGACTGAAACCAGGGGTTGACAGACTAAGACCCATGGAGCCAAATCAGCCCTCTGCCTCTTTCTGTAAAGTCTTAGTTTAACACAGCCATGCCCACTCATTTAGTATTATTTATGGCACCTTTCACTCTACAATAGCAGTTAGAGTAGTTGTAAGAGAGACAATATAGCAATACAAAGCTATCTGACCATTTACATAAAAAGTGTGCTGACCTCTAACCTACATAATAGTATGTACTCAGTGAATGTTAGACATTATCTGTGTCCATGTGTGTCTGCCAGGTGTGTATAGAATTCCTAACCTGTCACTCTACAAACTTCTTGCTTGTGCATGGTACTTTCCAGATATAAAATAAAAATATATGACCCATAAATACAATGGCACTAGCTTCTCTAAGATCAATACCTAGTTTTTGAGATATTCTCATAATTACATATTATAGAATGAGATACTATAATTCCCAAACCAATGAATTCACCTTTACTTTTTATAAGAAAATTATTTCTGTATCATACAGTACATTTGAGAGTATTTTTTTAGTGGAAAAGAGTAGGCTGACAGGGGTAGTCCACAAAAGCAAATAAACAATGATGGGGTACTACAATTCAAAAAAAGCAGTTACAGCAATAAACTTAAAATTCCAAGTACCAGTAACAAAATATGCTTGTAAGAACTGGATCTGGGTAAAATATTAAATTAATAGGAAAATGTCATAATTTAGTGGTCTATTTGTAACTTTATAAATCAGTTTCATAATCAAGTATAGGAAAATCGTCAGCCTGCCTGTCTACCAAACATCCCCCATAGACTAATAATGAACAGGCTGAGAATAAGGAAACGATTTTCTGTCTCACTGATTATATAACATGGGATAAATGGGGTTGACACATTTATCCTTTCATGTTTGAAAATTAAAAATCGAATGTAAAAATGTGGCAGTTCTTAAAAAAAAAAAAAAAAGCAAATGCCAAGAAAATTCAGAGTACTCATTTACAATGGAGTTGAATATGAAGGGGAAAAAAATCACTTAAAGCCAAAATTTCTATTAAAAATCTACTACAGGAGGTACCATATTGGAGAAAGACATACAGTTTCTCAGAAACTTCAACAGCAAGTTATTTCTTTGTTAAAACATATTGTTAGGCAAGATATGAAATAGCTGGCATTTAGAGGTTACACTGGATGGAAAATAGCAGTTTTACATTCAAGTTATCACCATGCCAGGCAAGATGCTCTGCCTGACAAGAAGGATAGCAGATTCTTATCTTTCATCTCACACTCACTCTGGAGCACATGCTCATAAAATCTTTCCCATCATGTTTACTTAGCAGAACATGCACAACTGAATTCCAGAAAGCTAAAAGTACTTCTAACACTGTAGTGTTATCCTAGTGAATGATTTTAATGCTTCTTAAAAACACCATATTAAATTATTATTAACTTTTGCCAAAATGTAAGAGGCATATTCTATAAACTTATCCTGGTCCACCACAACATATAATGTCACTGTGAAGTATAATGTTCTTACCTTGTTCTTCACTTCCTTCCTTACAAAGACTAGAGCTCTGGCCCAGACTTAAACTGATATCATCAGAAGTTTTAGCAGTGTCTGTATCTCCTACAAAGTTAAGAAAAACATGTGAAGATATGTTAGTAAAGACTGTATACTACAGCATAACGAGGAAGGATACCAAGGATCATAGATCTCTACTATACTAGTTTACCATACACTATATTAGCATACTATATCTACTAAAGCAGTTTTCGTATATCAAGGATTACAATAATGGAAGATGCACTGAACTAACAGGAAATATCACAGACTATCAGACCACATAATTATTCCCATAGCACTATAAACCAAATCATATGGAAAGCTTCATATTGTTAGCTAATAAAACTATTTCTTTAAAAAAAAGTTTTTAAAAAGAAATGAAAATTTTATAATAACAACTTAAAACAACGTAAATTTCCTTCCCAGGGCAAACCAGAAATCTAAAAAATTACAGAGTAAAAATAATATGCATTTATCTGAAGTAGGTATATTGAATAAAAGACATATATAAGATGTACAGAAAAACACTTTCCCTTTTTTTAGTATCTCATTTGCATCTAATTTAAAAGTTTCACAATAATTTACTCAGTTTTCCACAAACCTCACCAAAATCCATGAAAGTATTTTCCCTCAAGGCAAGGAAGTTTCTTAGAGATAAAAATTTACAATGTAATGCAAATGGTCAAACACGTTTGTGAAATTTGGATGATGAAAAGGAGACAATTTAAATCAAGTAATCTTTAATATAAGATACATAATTTTATCTACAAAATAATTTCTACAATTTTTCATTTCACATGAATAAACAGTACTTTGTTATCTTTATTAAAATCAGAAATGAAATGGAAAGTCACAGTCAACTTCCAAGTTAGATCACATCTACCTTTAATAGTTGCTGCTGTTCCAAGACGAGAAGAACCAGATCCAATCTGAAAACATGACATGAATTTAAGTAAAACATTAAAATGCTAGCTATGTCATTATCAACATACATTAGCAAGATAATTAAAAAAATTATATTATCAAAACATGTTATCAGTCACTTTTATCAATATTAAAACATACCCTTTAGGCACTGCACATCAGAGCCACAACCTGTTTGCTGCAGCACACACTGTGAACGTATTACAGATGTGCTGGGACACCGAATGGCTGAATCTCTCTGCACGCTCAGGACTGACGGAGGCCCCGTGGAAGGATGCCTCCAACCTTAAGCAATCATACAATTACTATCATTTTTTATATTGCACCATGATATGTTCATGTTATAAACAAAAGCAAAATAGTTGTTGAGTCTATCTAAAATAAATTTAGACTTATCAGGTCATATAAAGGGAAGGTTTGGAGGGAAAAAATATATATGCCACAAAGAGCAACCTAAATCTTCAACTGTCGAATTGTTCATGAATCAATATGTACTTTCCTGAGTTCCAGACAAAAAGTATGTCTTCGTAGACTGCTATAACATATTAGAAAGAATTAAAAACTAAGCCATCCATGAAACATGAATTTTTAGCAAACTAAAATCTACTGAACTTTTAGTGCTTATACTAAAGGCATAACACTTCCCTAAAATTTCACAACCATTATTTATTATACTATTATAAAAATTATAGAAACAAACACCACAAATTCCACAAACGCATTAAGAAAACAAAATATAACATGAAAATTACTAAATCAACAAGTCTTGGTAACTCTACAATCTATTTTCAAGAGATTCAAAAAGAAAACGGTCAAATTTAACACTTTGGAATAAAATTAAGAACATTCAAAAATTACTTTGCATTTTAACAAGTCTTTCCTTTCACTGATTCAATTGAACAGAAGTACACCTGTCCTTCGATTTACACAATATTTTTTTATACAAGTTTTTTTTATATGCAATAAATATTTCCCCCATTTATGTGGGCTTTTTATATGCAGTTTCCATTTACTGTGGTCTCATTTTACATAGTTCTTTCTTTTTCATTTCCAATATTTACGATTACTCTTTCTAAAAAACAGCTTAACTCAGCAGTGAACAAAGAACTAATACTAACACAATTATTAATGATCTTCCCATTCATTGGATGGCAAATAAAAAAGCATGAGTGACTACTGATGTTTTTTGGGATTGGTTTTACAAATGTTTTGAGTAGAACCTGAAAACTATATAAAGGAAAAATGTCTTCTTTTTAAAATATTTTTAATTTTAGATAATGTACCTGGCCATCCACATAATTTAGAACATCCAAATATAAAAGTTGTATATTTGCCACCAAATACAACTTCCTCGACCCAACCTTTAGATGAAGGCTTATTTCCATTTTTAAGATTAATTATATTAAATGGAGTTTTAATGATATTTTTAATAAACTTGAAGATAATGAATCATTTATAGTTATAGAAGCCAGGAGTAAATACGCAATTTTAAGTTGTTTTTAAGTTATATCAAGAATATTGCTTTAGCTTTGAGTGATATAAAGCCATCAACTTTAAATGCTTGCTGGAAAGCAATATGGCCAGAAGTGGTTGTACCAGGGAATATGGTTCCAACAACCGAAGAGGGATTAACTGGCATTATTAATTTATTAAATAAATTTCAAGAAGAAGGCTCTGACAATTTGAATGTAGATGATATTAACAAATTACTGGTTGATCATGAATTAACTGATAATGAATTAATTCGCTTAATATCTGAAGCCCATCCTGCTGATGAATATGGCAGTGACCTTGATTCACTGCAGAAAATATTTACAAAGCTCTTCAACTGGCTACAAAAATGGAAACTGCAATTCCAGATATTGATTCAAACATCCAACGAGGCCTGAAATTTCAAAAAGGTTTTAAAAAATGTTGCAGTGAATGTCAAAGAATTTATGAAAACTTAGCAAAAGATAGGATTGAAAAAAGATCATCCAAAAACATAAACATAAATAATGAAACCAAAGTAGTACTTCCAAATACTTCGAGCAACGAGGATAGTGACCTTGTGACAATTAAAAAAAGGTTGCTTGCTTTAGATTACACTAGATATCGACAGCGAATAAAACTTATTTTATTTTTTTTTCTGAATTTTCATTAGCATTTTTTGTGAAAATATGTGAAATGATTATTTTTATGACTTATATTGGCCTATTTTTTTGGCATTTTTTTTTCTTACTGGTGGACTCTTTTTATACAGTTTTCCTCCACATAAAAAAAGACATGTAGAACAGATAACCCACATAAATTGAGGGATGGGTGTATACAATAAGAAACTGGCTCATAATATAGGTTAATATTAAGTTGAAGGGGCATGAGGGACTTCCTTGATCTGGATGGCAATTAAATGGGTGTGCATATATATGTAGAAATCCACTGAGCTGTACACTTAAGGTATGCATGCTATGCTGTATAAAAGTTAAATGGCACTGAAAGTAAAAATAAGCATACACAACATATTAAAACTACTAATAAACTCTTGATGTAGCCAATAAAAAATAAGCTTTGCAATATTTTTAACTGTTTACTAAGCTTCATGTTTAGCAAAAATATACTTAATATAAAAATTCAGTTAAAAAGAATGTTAATAAAAGATACTATTAATAAATAATCAAAAAATTAAATAGCAAGATAAAGCCAAACATGAACTGACTATTATAAACAAGAGAATTCTTGAGACCATCATCGTCAGGAGAGAAAAAGGCAAAATAAAATCACACAGGTTCCTACCTGGTTGCTTGGATCTAGGCCAGCATAAGAATTTCTTGAGCTGCAACCAACTGGTGGTGTGGCCTCACGAATGAACTCGGACATTTCAATCCCTCCACCAGGATCACTATGGGAAAAAGTGATAGAAAGAGAGTAACTGCCATTATTTGCCACCAACCGTTTTCTTTTTATCATTTTTTTCTATAAAAAAGAGGTTCTGATTTTTAATAGATCAAATGGCAAAAAAAGATCATCCTTCATTTATGAGTCTAATAATTTGAATTATTTTATAGCTACATCACTATTTGAAATATTTAAAGCACTCTCCCAAACTGTGTATACCCAGTCCGCTAGAAACTGATCTTGATTACAATTGCGGCATACTAAATATAGCACGTTTTATAATATGTGCCGTAAAAACACTCTAGCAAAGAAATGATTTGCCTTTTGTTTCCTAAGATCAAAGAGAAATCAGCCATTGTAAACACAGAAAGTAATCAGATCTTACCTACCACTCTCCAAGAGCAGTCTGACTGAGCTGAATGACACAATGATAAACATGAAAGGAAACACTCATTCTGGTCAAGTTATTTTTATCTGTATTTTTTAAGTGAACAGCATTTAACTGGGATACTAATTTGTTTTATGGAATTAGAAACCTAAGATTTTAGATGTGTGTATGAGTTGGAAAGCTTAAGTTAAAAAAGTAAAATGACATTCACTGTATAGTATCAAGAGGCATTTAACAAAAGAGAAAAGTACTAGGTTCAGAGAAGTAAAGAAATCTACATATAGTACTTAAAAGATAATGGGTTTCCCAAAATCAGGGCAAAAGATCACACCAAACTTCAGAAAAACTTATAAAGTTTTAAAATAACGTTCCTTAGGGACTCAACTTTTAGAAAAACTCAGACCTAAAAGTTATCATAATCCTATTTTTTGCCCAGAGAGTTTTACTCATTCCATCTGGAGTAAGTATTAAATAAATTTAGCTATAATTATCAAGGATAAAAGCTCTAGTATACATGCTAGGCATTATAGCAAATGTGAACTATCTTGCCATCCAGCATCTAATTCAACCTCCTAGTTAACAAAACAAAAAAAGCAATCCAAAATTCTTCTGGTGAACCACCCCATTCCAAACTTTCATATGGTTTTAGGTGAAGATGACCCCATCCTCAGGTTTAGGGGGAAGCTCTACTGGCCAAAGTCAATCAGCATGTCTCATACTCTTAGTTACAGAGCTTAGTTATAGAATAAGCACATGACTCAACTCAGGCTAGCATTAATCAGACCAGAAGTGTTCTATTGTTGAAAGAGGAAATTTCCCTATAATTAGAAGACTTAAGGCTTGTAGCTCCTGCAGCCACTTTATACCCACAAAGGGACAGCCTGTCTAAGAAGCCAATGAAAAAAAAAGAGCACAGCCTGGTGAAGGGAAGCAGGATCATGAAGCAACTGTTAGAAACCACAGTTTGCCACATTTGAAGACATCCTTTACATACAGACTTTTCAGGATTGTGAGCCATAAATTCCCTCAGCCTGTTTAGATAGGGTATTCTGACAGCTTCAATTAAAAGATACAGGTAAAGCAGAATTTGCTTACAAGTATACCTTCCTTTTAAGTATCGCTACAGCTGTTTGAATTCTAGTGTTTTTATTATTAATGGTCTTATAACTATCATGTCCCTTTTTGCTTAATGGGTTCCTAACTCCAGACCACAGACTATAGTTAGCTAATGCTCAATAAAGACAATCAGCTAAGTTGCTACCCATTGATAATAGTAAAACATATTGGGACTCGGTTACAAACTTGATGGCCAATTCAACATACTCGAGTTTGTTAGTTGCTTGATGCTCTTACTAAATATATAGACCAGAATGAGAAATATTTTTCTAATCTGCCAAAACCTTAAGTGTGTATATAGCAACAGTTATCACCACACCGAATTAGCAATGAGTAATAACCAGCAAAATTATTGCTATCTCCACTGAAATACATTCTCTAAGTCAAATTCCACAGAAATCAGAAGACGAAGAGCAAGGTAAAAATTAAGAAATAAAATTTTCAACACTAGAGGAAGGAAAGAGAGCTCTCATCTTGCCTAGTTTACGTACATCAGCTTTACTGATATATAATGCACATACCACCAATTTAAACTATATAATTCAACAGTTTTTAGTATATTCATAAAGTTGTATAACCATCACCACAGTTAATTTTAGAACATTTTTATCACCTTAAAAACAAACCCCTTTAGCTAATACTACCCACCCCCATCTCCAACATTTCCCATTATCCCCTGCCCTAAGTAGCCACTAATCTACTGTCTCTATAGATTTGTCTATTCCAGATGTTTCATATAAACTGAACCATATAATATGTGGTCATTTGTGTCTGGCTTCTTTCACTTAGCACAATGTTTTCAAGGCTCATCCATGTTGTAGCATGTATTAGTACTTTGTACCTTTATATGGACTAATAATATTCCACTGAATGAATACAACCTATTTTGTTTATCCATTCATCAGATAATGGACAATCTCACCTAGTTTTATACATCATTTCTGATAGCAAGTCCAAATGATTACAATCTGCATGTAAAATCATTAATAACAAATAAAGGCAAACATTTACCAAGTACTTATTACATTCGAGTCATAGGAGCATGTACTTTATTTTCTCATGGACTATTCCCTTGAAACCTATGATATATATACTACTATCTTCATTTTATAAATGAAAAACAAAAACGAAAAAAAGGTGTAAAACCTTGCCTAAAGTCTCACAGAAGTAAACAAAATAAACTGAGTCATTGGTATATTGAGTTCAGGTGGAAAGGGAGGATAAAAACAATACTCGAAACTCTATAATATATTGTCATATCTTTTCTTTTTTCCATACACCTGAACATAAGTACTCATAACGGTAAGGAATGAGACAAAATTTGAACACCATGTCTATAAAACTGTAAAGCCCACAGTCTAAGACACCATTACTGCCTTTCAACAAACAGGAATTGTTCTCTTTCCAGTTCAGAACCAAACATAAACACCATTATCTGAGGTTTCTTAATTTCGGCACAATTGACTTTTGGCCAACATAATTCTTGACTGTGGGGGACCATCCTGTGCATAGCAGCACACCTGACTTCTACCCTCTAGATGCCAGTAGCACTCTTCCCTTGTTGTGATAAGCGAAACTGTCTTTAAATACTGCCAAATGTCTCCTAGGGGGTAAAATCACCCCCGACTGAGAAACAAAGATCTAATACTACATTCAATGGCCAATACTGAGTGGGAAGGAGGTATTAGGAAGCAAAAAAGATGAAGAAACAACTGTACGCCTTTTATTAAAAAAAAAAAAAAATCCTCTAGTAAAATTATGGTACTTCTCTCTTCCGCAAATTCCAAAGTAGAACTTTGAGTCAGCTGTAACTGCCCTAAATATAGCAAAACATATAAAATGACTGAGTAAGAATTTTCTTTATTAGCAAGACTTGCAGATTTTCAAAAATGAAGATTTCAGTACATACCTGGAAAGTATAGTAGTTTACAATTCTCACAGAAGCAAAATGGTTTACTGCAGTAAGCAATACACCAAATTCAAGGGATCTCTACCTTTATGCCTTAATTTCCCCATCTGTTAAAAAAAAAAAATACCAGGTACAGGGAAAGGCAGAAAAGCAGAAGGGGTCTAATCTGAATTATAAAGAAGACTTCACAAACGAATTCATTATTAGTATCATTAACTGCTCAGGCTTTAATCAAAAACTTCACAGCACCACTCAGTACTAAATTTACAAATCTAAACTAGATTACAATGATGTTCATAAACGTATGAATAGATAAAACCGAAGTCCCTAAACAGAATAAATCTTCTTCAGAAAACTTAGCCTAAAGTTCACCAACATGTAGTTTAAACAGATCCTTACAATACTTCAAGTATTACTGCCATAAAAAAAAAGAAAATATGGTCTCCTAAATATTTTTATTTAAATCATAAAATTCAACGTACTAATTTCCTCTCCAGAAACATCAGAAATGCACTATAAACATTAATGATTTTTACTTTCTCTAAGATGAAGATTTAATAAGTATTTTTGAACTGCTGCACCACAGCCAATGAAAACCATCAGGCTTAAGCAGTCCTACTATATTAATTAATGCATGCAACAAACTGACAGCTATAGTGTACCAAGCATGGGACAGGCTCTGTAAATAAAAGTATATATTTTCTTGTTCATTTCTTTTCCTCAGAACAGAATGCAAGAGTCACAAGAGGGAAGGTGGGGAAAGTAAGATGTCAAAAACAAAAATCTACAACAAAGATCTTATTTGATGGTGAAACTTAAACAATCTCTCTAAGATTAGAAAAAAATAAAGATGTACACCAATACTATTTCAATTTAACCATTTGCTAGAAGTCATAGCTGATGAAAAAGTTAAACAAGAAGTACAAGAATTAGAAAGAAATAAACTGTCATCATTTACAGAAAATAAAGAAATAACCTGCAAGGTTTCAATATTAATAAGGGAGTTTAATAAGGTTGCTGGATACAAAGTAAACTACTACATTTAAAGGAAGAAAAACAGAAAATATAATTATAAAAAAATTTTATAATAGCAAAAACTATAAAATAATTTGGCAAATTTAACAAAGCTACGTTAGCCCTTTATTGAACAAATGATAAATCTTTACTGAAAGACATTATAGACTAATTAAAGACTAAATAAATGGAGAGATTCAATATGATCATGATTATTGATCCTCAGCAGAGAAATCTACAGGTTAAATGTAATTCTGATTAAAATCCTAAATTCTTGCAGACTTTGCACAGCAGACTCTAAAGTTTATATCAAAAAGAGCCAAGAATAGCAAAGTCACTTTTGAAAAAGAAAATGATAGGTTTGCCTACCAGATATTAAAAGTCATGATGTAAAGCTACAGTTATTAGGATAGTGTGGTATCAGTACCACAGGCAGAGACAACTAGATCAACAGAACAGAAAATAGAGCCCAGAAACATACCCACCATATACGGAAACGTAATTTAAGACAGAGTTAGTACTGCAAATCATCAAGGAAAAGATAGTCTGTTTAACAAATACTGATTAAACCAGTTATTGACAAAGTCAATAACAAGTCTTGAATTCCTACCTGACATCACAGATTAGAATAAGTTCCAGTAGAATTGAAATGTGAAAACAAAAGAAACACGAAACTTTAAAAAGACAACATAGGAGAATACCTATCTGATCTCTGTGAAGGAAATAATTAAGTAAAAGCGAGGCGCAAAAATGCTAATTACCAAAAAAATGATCTTATATTAAATTTAAGAATATATATAATCATAAGAAACCTTAAGGAAAGTGAAATGACAAGTCACAAACTGGGAGATGTCTGTAATGTATATATAATCAATAAAGGAGTATTATAAACATATTAAAAATTATTAATTAATAAGACTTCAAAGAAATATGAAACAAGACATGAATGTGCATTAGAAAAAAACAGAAAACTTAATTGGAAAATGTGTATATAAGATGCTCAACCTCATTAGAAATCAGAAAAGTTCACTAAAAGTCACAATGAGACACATTTAACATTTACCTGAATGGCAAATTTTTAAAGCTTACCAATCAATATCAAATACACACGAGGATGTGGAACAGGACTTTCATACACTAATAGTGAGAGTATAAACCAGTACAATCATTCTGGCAAACTGTTTGGAATTACCTAATAAAACCGAACATGAAAATACCCTATGAACAAGCTTATATACACCATGTGTAACAAGAGACATACACAATAATGTGTTATAAGAGCAAAAAAACTGGACAGCTATCAACAAGGTATCAAGAAGGATGGATAAGTGGTAGTCTCCTCATACAGTGGCAGACTGTACAACAGTAAATATGAATAAATATCAGCTGTAAGAATCGGCATGGTAAGTCTATAAAATACAATATTCTGAACAAAAAAAGCCCCTCAACTAGGTATACATACTGTATGATTCCCTTTAGGATGTCCTAAAGCAGATAAAATTAAATAATGTATGTTTAGAAATATCTACAAAGACAGTATAACAATAAGAAAAGCAAAGGAATATTAACACAAAATTTAAGATAACAGTCACTCCCAAAAGAAAAAGAGTAGGATAAAATTGCAAAGGAGTGCATGAAAACTTGTATGGCATTTGTACAAAGTCCTATTTCTTAACCTGTGTGTAGAATAATTAAGTATTCACTTGATTGCTATTTTCTAAATTACATATATAACTGATATACTAATTGGAAATATATTTCACAATAAAAATTTTTTTAACTAAAAGAAAATGAAACAACAATTCAGTAACAAAAGCAATTAAAAATATATACAATATCCAGAAATATTAAGAGCTAACAATTACTGAGTGGTTACCATGTATCAGGAATTGTTCTAAGTGCTTTACATAAATTATTCTCATTCATTCTTTGTAGTAATACTATGAGACAGTACTATTATCTGCCTTATTATTCAGGTGAGGAAGCCAAGGCATAAAAAGCTTTAATAACTTCTCCAAGGTCATACAATCAGGAAGTGATTAAAGGCCAGCAGATTAAGTGCAGAATCTACATTCTTTTGCTTAGCCACTATACGAGGTTATGCATTTCCTAACAGAAATAGAATAGACTTAAGAAATACTCAGAACCCATAAAAAAAAAAGACTGAAGTTTTAGGAGACATAAAAGACAACTGAATAAATATAGATAAATATACCATGTCCCTAGATGAAACAAATTTCCTACTTTAAAGGTTGTGTTCTCTCCAAACTTAAAACAAATATCATCAAAATTTTAATGGAATTTCTGGAACATGAGCACACAAGGAGATATCTCACAAAAAACTAAGCAAGTATATGCATGAGAATAACCAAGATAATACTGAAAAAAAAAAAAAAAACATTAAAAAGAGATTCACACTGCTAAGTATTAAGCATATTAGAAAGCCATATAACAGTATGGTATAAACAAAAAAGACATTAAAATCAATGGGGCAGAAAACAAAGTCCAGGAACTGACATAGGTATGCTATATGAAAAAAAAGGATTTAAAATTATTGTAGAAAGAAAATTACTCAATAAATGGTATTAGAGTTAATAAACCTAAAAAAGAAAAAAAAATGTTTTCAGATTGACTACAATTTAAGAGTGAAAAATAAAATAATACTGAAAGTAGATATAGGTGAATATATAATTTAGGAAAAGAAAAAGGCTTACGAACTTGATATCAAAAGCATGACTAATAAACATTCACAGAATAGATCACATAAAAGTAAACTGTGGCATATAAATAAATAAAATGCCATTAAACTGAAAAAAACTACTTGACACAAAAGATAGTTAATACCCTCCATAAATAAATATCTTCTCTAAACAAACCACCAATAGAAAGACAGACAATTGACAAAGTAACAAATATGTGGCAATAAATAACAAGAATACCTCCATTTCACTAGTAATCCAAACACTGAAAAATTAAACAATGAGATCTCTATCACAGTTTTGACAAAATACTAAATAATCAGTGTTGTCAAAAGTCAAAAAAAAAAAAAAAGCCCTAACTGCAGATCATGGTAATTAAAAGGCAATGTATACTGAAAATCTTAAAAGTGGGTATAGCTTTCTAGTAATACTACCTCTGTTAAATTTTTATTAAAAATTTAATCATTTAAAATGTAAACAGAATCATCTAATATTTAATTTTGAAAATAACTGAAATAATAAAAACAAGGTAGTTAATTATGGTATACACACAAAATAGAATACTATTCAGTCAAACATAATATCACAGAAAAAGTGTTTTCACTATTTCAAATATTCCCTGAGTATCTAACAGTGCCAGACACTGTTTTAGAACCTGGAATTATAATAGTTTGTAAGAAAAACAAGGCCCCTGCCTTCGAGAGGCTTATAAATTCAAATAACTGATTAAGTAAGATAATTTCAGATAGTGATTAATGCTATAAATAAAATTATTACGAGAGCAAATTACTTATTCAATGAACAAATAGTAATCATGCTAGGGATAGAGATAAACATATTTGAAAAGAGATAAACAAAAGCTTTCAATGCACTGGAAAATATACAGAAACATTACTTGTCTTGTATCATTTATATCTTGACACCCAAATACTTAATATTATACTCAGTGGAAACATGGCATAGTGTTTAAAAGTATGGACTCCAGATCTGACTGGATTATTTGATCTTTCTCACCTTAGTTTCCACATCTGTAAATCAAGGATAATAACTGTATCTACCTCAAAGAATTGTTTTGAAGACTGAATGAGCTTATACATGTCAGGTGTTCAACAGTAACTTTTTAAAGTTATACTGGCGATAATACCTATTATTTCTGTAAAGTCACAATAAACTTTTGACTATGAATAAAGTAAATCCCTCTGTCAAAAAGAGAAAGTGGGTGAGGCCAAGGTAATAGAACGTGATTCAGAATCAAAGTGCGAATACCTGAGCTGGAACAGGAAAAGAAAGCCTCCAGGAGGAGGTGACATTTACACAGTTGAACCCTAAGAAGTCAGTTATGCAAAGATCTAGGGAAGGAACAGCTAAATTTCTAAGTTGAGAACATAAAATTTAAAAATATTTACAATAAGGTGAAAAATAAAATTATAATTGTCAAAATATTATTTGGTTAATATAGAAGTATATATTTATAAAATATTTCTTTAAATTGTTTTCATTCGTTTTGGTCTTCATATGAATAATTATTATACGACTGTAACTATTATTGTTCCCACATGTTATTTAGTAGTAAGGCCAAGGATATTGATTTAATCCCTCAGATAGGCTAGTGAGCTTTGTTGTGGTCTAATGTGACAACCTGTACTTGTCATTGTTATCTATAGTGGTAAGATCTATCACTGTCTTAAAACCACATAAAGTCTATGGCCATGCCACCCTGAACACGCCCAATCCCGTCTGATCTCGGAAGCTAAGCAGGGTCAAGCCTGGTTAGTACTTAGATGAGAGACCACCTAGGAAGACCAGGTGCTGAAGGCATAAACAAACAAACAAACAAACAAATAAATAAAATGAAAAGACAAAGCTTTGAACTGAAATAAATTTATATTTAAAAAACCACACAAACAGAAAAGGCATAACATAATAATCACATCACTGTACACATGTAAGATCTACATCACTACAAACTAAGTGACATGGGTTTCCTTACCTTGGTCCATTGCTGTCTTTTCTCCTAGTTGAACAGTTGCCTTGCTCAGCTTTGGCTCCCTGATCTGTGAACTCATTTGTGTTCCTATCTACAACTTCTCCAGCATCAAGTGCTCTGTGGAGTCGATAGTTGATCATCTTCAAAACAATGAAAACAGCAGCTATCACAGGGCAATAAACTGCTACTATAATCATAGAAGAAGGAAGGGCCTTTAAGAGAAAGAAAATAAAGATATGCATTTTAATTATTTTATATTTCATTCCATTAGAGAACTATTTAACTAAAAAATAAACATACTCAGTCACACACAAAGCGACAATGTTATAGCACCAACTTGAAAAGAATAAGACAGCACTGCCCAATACAGTAGCCACTAGATACATGAGGCTATTGAGCACTTGAAATATGGTTAGTCTGACCTGAGTTGTGCACAATAAATAACACTGGATTTTAAAGACTATGAAAAAAATGGAAAACATTTCAATTGTTTTTATGTTGATTACATGTTGAAATAACATTTATAGTACCATGTTAACATATTACTAAAATTAATTTCAACTGTTTATTTTTACTTATTTTTAATGTAACTACTAGAAAAATTTTAATTACGTATGTGGCTCACATTACATTTCCATTGAACAGCCCTGGCATAAAGTCCATGCCAAAAAGCTCATAATACAATTGGAGTTAAAGTATCACATTACATAATACGTGAACAAGACAGGATTGTAATCCAAATATATCTAATCCCTGTATATATGCTCTCTGTAACTTTTTAAGGATATAAACATTCTTTGTGTTCTAGAAAACTGTAATTTAAAACTGTCATGAGAATAACCTTAGAACTGTGACTAAAGAACCAGATTAAGACATGGGAAGACATGCAAAATCCAAGTATGTTTTATTTTAAAATAAATTTAAACACTTAAAAAACACTTAAAAATTGTAGACTGCCAAATAGAAAAAAAAAGAAAAAAGAATACAGAACACAATCAAGTAATAAATGGATTAACTGAAACATGTGAGAGGCATCTAAGTGTAGGGACTGCAGAGTTATCATACTTGAGGATTCAGTGATGTGGACCTGAGACCAGGCATGGCAGACTTAGAGACCACCTGACGTGGAAGGCATGGCCTCAGGGTCACTGCTGGCAGAGACTATAAAACTAGGCTCAACTTATGTCCACTTTCATGAGAAAAACAATCTCTCTGGATGTCTGTAACTCTAGATTCCAAATGTTTTCATAAGATTCAAATTCAGTTATCTGAAAACAAGGCTCCAAATTTTCTTGGAAAGGTAACCTCAAATTGTGTGCGAAAGTGAAATTGACAAGGTCCTGGTGAACCAGGCAGGTTTAGACTACAGATATGATATGGTTCGTTTTAAGTTATTTGGGAGGGAGAGAGGGGGAACCGTATGGTTTGGGATTGGGAGGGGAAAAAAGTAACTCAACCCCACAGTTTAATACTTTTGGATTGGATATGAGCATAATAGGCATATACTTGCTATTTTTAAATACTTGGATTAAGAAGCCCTTCACATTAGTCTATCTAAAAAATAAAACTGATTCCAATTTGAAATGTCATTACACAACTAATTTAGGCTTATGATTTAAAGCTGAAAATATGTATTTAAAATTTTACAAAATCCATAAATGCCAGGTTTAGAAGTTAAGTACTTAGAAATATTTGTCAGGTAATTTATGTACTTCAAAATGAATACTAAACTTATAAATGCAATTTAAATTAAAAGAATATTAAGCCATATTTTAAAAAACCAAATCTCTTAAAAAGTTAAAATTTGTTCGATTTGTAAAGACTTGAGTTTAAAATTCTAAGTTAATTTATAGCTTTTCTGAGCAGAAAATATACACAGACACAAAACACACATACTCATTCAAATTAACAAAAGTTTCAAAGTTAATGCAAACATGAACAAGTATACTGCTTAGAATATTTACAAAAGTTCTGCATGATGCTGGTTTCCATATGTGTTTACATAAGAACTGGAATTCTTGGAGTTCCAGTTCAACACCCTTATCTACAGACAGAAAATTGAGTACTCACTTTAAATGACTTAGCCAAGACCGCCCATCCTAATAACATATTAATGATAAAATAAAGCAAGGTTTCTTATGCCTATGTCACTTCATGTTTTACTATATACCATGATACCAATTCCATTTTCAAATGTAAAGTGTCAATGAAAAATGAGTCAGAGTTCCATCATTATTCAACATAGTCCATATGAAGATTTAAATGATTGATATCAAATGGTATCCCCTATTTGCCCTTACAAAAAAGTCAAAGACAAATCTAAATAAACTCTTTCTCCCTAGTATTATATTGCTCAAAGTAGCAGATAACTGAGTGTTAAGGAACACACTAAAATGTGTAGGATTTATATAGGAAGTATAGAATTTCTTTTTTAAAAACACTGAACACTAAAAAGACCAAAAAAAATTAAGTGACCCTTTCATACTAGAAACCAGTATCAGATGATTCACTTGTACTTTCTACTCAAACTACTAATGGTACCCAACTTATTTTACACTATGTAGTTTAAATGCTTTAGCCCTGTCAGTAATCACCCGAGGTTTCTAGGTAACAGAGGACAGCTGTGCTACAATTTCACTTTTACCTTACTGGGTAAAGTGCATAGACACACACTGGGCTGTTGTGTGACTTTATTTAAACTTGTTCCCTACTCTACTTGCATTACTTCACTGGGCTCTCAGCTAATCCCAGCAGAGCTGACACTATTAGTATCGGATCATAAATGGATCATAAACCCTCCCTGTTACTGTGCTTCATTAATATTACAATAAAATTTTAAATGATGTCTGCCTTTACACGGTTTCAGTGATCCCCTAAAACCAAACACCAAAAAACTAGAAACCAGTTAGGTCACCTATTTTTCAGTTTTATGGATTATATACCAAAGGGAAAATCAAGTAGTAATTACTATTTGCATTTAATATTTTATTAAATTAGATAGATCAACACTGTTTTCAAAGAAAGATCTTCAGAGACATTCAGAATTCCATTTACCAACAAGCAGCATCTCATGGGAAAGCAGATTTTTTCCTGAAGAAAAAAACTCTTACAAGATAAAAATGTTTATATTTTTGTTAAAAATATAATTTTTGTATCCCATTCAACCCAATTCTAAATTAAAATATCTATTTTGAATTTGGGGGTGGGGCAGATGTTTATTGACTTAAGGTTAATTACACTCCATAACAAACAAAAGTACTAGTATTTCCAAAAGGATACGTTTTATCCTCTTAGGTTATAATATTTTATTGTAGATGTCATCTTCAAGTTAATGCTGATGCATGCAAGCACATTAGCTACCCTGTGATAATAAGTTGATCTATTTTATCTTCACATAAATGTGTACCTATTGTTATAAACTGCTAATACAGAAAGGCTGGTTTTTACTTCTTTCTTAGGATACCACAGTGGACATAAGAGAATGAAGGTAGTGTAGCAGCTAGTGTAATACTGATGGACAAACAAGGCCCTTATTAACTAACTAGAAATGTCACATCACTGCAAGCTCAAGATAAAGGCTTACAGTCATCACAGGCTTCAAGAACTCTTCTTAGAATCTTAAACATCTATCTCACGCAGCTTATACATCAAAGGTTATAACATTAAAACAGACAAACTTGGTATTTTTCAGTTCTATTATGCTATGAATAGTTAACGTCTTGATTTTTGAGGTTTGCTTATCATGTAGTCATACTTAAGTATTCAGACCAGTTCAGTTAGAAATCAGTGATCTGTAACTTAAAAATTAACAGAAGATACAGTCCAAAATGACAGGTATAGGCTGTGAAAAAAGTATAAAATGTTAGTTGATACTAAGTATCAGATTTAGTTGATAATTTGTTACATGAACTTGGAAAAAATGCATTGAAACAGTTCTGATTGAGAACAGCTAGAAATGCTGTTAAGGGAGTACTCCTCTGTGAACAGTATACTTCTAGATCTTAATTTGGTGGTGTAGAAAATATTGAAAATTATAAATCCAACACAAAAAAATAGACAGTGAGCATGTCTTAATATTGCTGCACATCACCAGTTCCATCCAACTATGAAACAAATTAGCTGCTAGCATACATAAGGCAGTAATTGCTCTTGGAGAATATATTTCCTCTGAAATCAAGTCATATTCAACAGTGTCATTTAATAACAAAATTCTGAAAATTGCTCATCTTGCTTGCTCTCCAAGCAAAACAGTTGTAATTAATGTTCTAAAGTAGTTTTGCAAGTTTTTAGGCAAAAGCATACATTACAGTATACCTGTTTTTTTACAAAAAGCTATAATTTTAAAAAATGCCTTTATATTTTTGGTACCTTCCTCTTTAGAAGGAAAACTTTCCAGTTCACACTAGAAAACAGTGACTTGGGATTATTGTGGGACAATCCCACTGGTTCCATAGAAATCACTAGAAAAAATGATAGAAATTGTAGTGGCTTTATGTAACTATCTGACAAAGATTCATGGCAGACGAGTAGAATTGGAGACAGAGGGACTGTATTATGAAGGAAAACTTTTAAGTAGACACAAACATGAAGACTGTATCTGTCTCTCTTAAACAGGAGATTAATTGGAAGAGAAATTGTAGAAAGTAAAGAAAAAAAATTAGGTCAGCCTTTCCAAATACAAATAGATATCCAGAAGGTCAAATTTCTAAACACTACCACCTTGAATTACACATTTTCTTCCTCAAAATGGTTAGCTATAAATGTATAACTAATAAATAAAACTGTCATTCCCCTAGGGCTTTTCTTTGCTTCTTATACTACCTTAGTTCAATATCTAGCTAAAAGAAAAAAATTGAGTAATCGTTTTGTTTCCAGGTTCAAAACACACTTAAATTCATTCAGATTATACTCTGTAAATCCATGCTTCTCTCTTTTTGTGGTTTGGAATCTTTGAATGTTGCTCACTACCAAGGTAGTTGGTACTTCTACTGAACTACAACAGAAACAATCACCGACATTTTAGAGAAACTGAACATATAATTCTCTTATTGAAAATTCTGTTTATCACAAACACCCATTTGCATTTCATTACGACTGTTCTTTTGTCACCTCATAAGTGCATATTCCTATCTCCATAACCTAAGAACATATATTGCTTTAACTTAATCATTAACAATATAGTATGATATTCAACACTTGCAAATTATTAAGT